TCCTTTTTTTCTTTCTTTTGTCTTGCACCTTTTCTGGAAGGTAGATTAGTTATCGAAGATTGAGGGATGCTGCAAATTAATAGGTCGCTTAATTCTGCCGCGGAAAAAAATGTTTGTTCTCCTTTTTTGTGTAAAATAGAACGAATTTTCTACACACAATGCTCATTAACGAAAGGGAAAATAAAGTCAAGAAGAAGGTTCGTGCGAGAGAATGGCGATAGTCATCGCAGAAAAAGAAGATAAGTTTCGTAAAAGACACGACGAGGAGGAGAGAGAAGAAGCTTCTTCTTTTTCATTCGAAGGACTCGGGGTCAACCGCAGATGTTGCGTTCGGAGCCAATTTATCCCTTTCACGCAGCTTTTCTTCCTAGATCAAATGGGAAAATTCAGGAAGAAAAATTCGTGACTTTGGCGTATCTGCAAAGTCGAGCAAACCAGATTTCGCACCTCATTAAACATTGTTCGAGAAACAATAAAAATTCCTGTATGCCGACGCGCACAGCCTGTTCAAGGTTGCATACCCTCATTACGCTTTTTCTCTTCTCCACTTCAGTAGCTGCTGCTGCGACCGCGAAATGACAGACGTTCGAGATAAATGAGCTGGAGATTCCTTCGTTTTTTTTTCTCGTCTATTGGGGAAAACAGCGATTTTTCAAACTTGCATACGCATACCGCGAGGGGTGCTGGAATGATGGTTTTATTGCGTTGAAATTTATGTTTGCGACCAAAATAAATGCCTGCAAATGATTGCGTATTGGTTAGCTGACGTTGATGAATCTGAATTTTTCCCGATGACGAAGATTTAGCTTGAAGATTTAGCGAGACTGGACGTTGAATAGCACGCGTTCCATCGGAAAGTTCGATGGACGAAATTTTATTGCTCAGCCGTTTTATACATTCCCCCCGCGTGCGTTCTCAAACTTCTTATTCGATACTGCACCGGCAGAACTGAAAGTTCGATTATACAAAATCGAATAAAACTGCCATGCTCGAAGAGAGCGAAATCGAATATACATGTGTACGCGTGGATGGCGCTGCGGCATTACGTAAAATCGCGAAGAACCTTATAAATTTACTTGGAGATCGTAACTCAACTTGGTTCGATGGCCGGCCCGACGCGGAGTGTTTCCCAATATTTAATAACCCGCGAAAGCATTTGCCTCTCTCACTCGTGCGAGCTTGAAATACCTGCTTAATTGGACACTTCGAGAGGAAAAGAGTCTAGTTAGACGGTACATTCCAAACAGTAGTCGCAGCCTAATTCGAGAGCCAGCGCACCCGCACGAGAGAGCGAGAGAGCCTTCGGCGGCCCTACGCGCTCCGAGCACGATCGCGTGAGAAAACGAACTGGAGAAAAGAAAAACAAAATAAAAACAAAACGAAACAAAAGAATATCGCGAGCTCGACGAGCTTCTTCTTCGCGTATGGGAATCCACTCCTGGCATATTCTCGCGGAGCGCGCAAGAGATTATTGTTCGGCACTTCCGCCAACTGCGCGTGTCCGCGTCAACCGATATTCCTTTCCGTCTACCTTCTCGACGTGGCGTCTTTTTGTTGTCACTGATAAATAACCGTTCGCTTAGAGTCCTTTCGATTGGGAGAACGTAACTAACGCGCGCGAACGCGACATCTCGATTCGTCTATTAAGGATGACAATAGAGGCGACCGACATCTCGTGCTTCGTACTTCGGCGAAGAAGTATTTTGCAAACCGCCGTTAAAGCGAAAAAAAAAAACTACGTTCGTTCTTTGCCGTAGAAAAATGACTTTCGTACGTCGAAAGCAGCCCTTGCTTCCCGAAAGCTTCCATAAATGCACACAGTACAGCAAGAACCGCGAAACGCTATTCATCGGTCGCTAAAGAAAAACAATCGATCGAGGCTACGCAGTTTCGGATACAATTAATCGGACTTGAGAATAACGTACATACGTGCGGCGTGAGCGATCTACATTTCCGACGAGATTGATCATCGACGCCCGCTGCGTAACGGTTTCGCGCGACGACAGCGGGGCCTCGCGTAGGAGTAAATGTACCTCGGATGCAAGCATTTACATGAGCCACCACGGCAACACGTAGCGCGAAGAAGTTGGCCTCGACTTCTGTCCTATTGTGATTTTAACGCTCTGCCGCGTGTCAGATTGATCGGCGATGCCTCCGCATTAGCGAAGACGCTAATTGTCCTGCGCGAGAAAAAAAATTTTCTTTTCTTTTTCTTGTTGCAAGCATGACTGAAACGAGAACTGATAACAACGACTGTTTGCTGCAGACAGTTTTTGTCGCGAAGCGTGCTGCGTATTGGCTATCAACAAGAGCGATTTTAAGCGAGACATTAGTTTTGAGGTTTACGCAATAATTCATGAAAATGATAATTGTAGATAATTGTAGCTGTCATTTACCATCGGTATATAACGATCTCGTGCACAGTTTTTCCACTGTTCCGATCAACAACCCAGTGAAAGGTTAACGATCGTACGGCAATATTACAATTTAAAATTTACAATCGTAATAAATAATGCTGAAAATTTCTTTTTCGCAGTGCACACAATTGAGAGCTCGGTATAAAGTACCTTCGGAGATAATAACATTGAGCAGGTACGTGCGCGCACGGAGCAATTTCGGCCGAACGCGCTCACGCGCAATTATCCCGCAGCGCATATATGCGAATGCGCACGTTGATAACGCAATCAAAATGCGCGAAACGACGGATCGCGCAATCCGCTTCAAAAGAGAGAGAGAGAGAGAGAGAGAGAGAGAGAGAGACCCGGCAACTCCACTGCATCCCCGCGCCAATTTACGCGTCGTTTGAGCGATAAGAGGCCGAGCTGTGCCCCGCGGCAATTAAGAGTCTTTTGTGCACGCGGGAAAAACTAGAGCACGCAAGCCAATTGGAAAACGCGCGTTCGGATATCTTTCGGCCTTTCACTCGATATCGAATGAGACTCTTGAAGGGCGACCACGTGAGTTGCGCAACTCGCTGCCGGTGCAGCAGAGGGTCTCGCGTCTTCGCTCCGTCGTAAAGTCACACTTTTCTTGTTCTTTTTTTCTTTTCTCGCGCGAAAACACTCTCTTATTTTGAGTTGTTCGTCGACGAGCGCTGCGCTCATTCTATGCTAATCGTTGTTTATGCACACTTTTTGAGCCGAGAAGGCAAGTACGCGGTGTCGATTGCGAAATTAGCGATTTGATGAACGCACGCGTATTAATAGAATTCCCGCCAATGTGGCAACGAGCTACGGCTATTTGTTTTTTTCTACTTTTTCGCAACTTTGTCACGCGCGCGACGTATCCCTGCATCCATGCGTGCGTGGCCGAACAAAGAGGCTGTTGCGGAGAGAAAAGAGAGAGGCAGGTGCGCGCAAGTGGGTCCCCGAAAAAAAACAGCCGTACTGTACGAGCACGCGCGCGTGCGTTTTCCCTCCGACGCCAAAGTTTAATCCGCTTATATATGCCTCGTATAATTATGCGACGAGATCGTTATTTATGGATATCTGATTAGCAGTGGAAATGATGATGGTGAGATTATAAAGCCAAAGGACTATTTTGCATAATCAATCCCTCGGTTAGATTGAGAAAAATCGCGAGTCCAATTATAATCAAACACACAGTCGGTCCATTGTCTGGCGTTGCGAACAATAGATTAATTGAAGGCGCCCTCCGAGGAACTTTTAAATGCGCGATATCCACTTTGGAGCGAGAGGATTTATTTTATTACGCTGGCAAGCAGAACGCCGTTCTGCTCATAATGACACTGTAATTTTCGCCCGGAGAGAGAGCTTTCGTTGGTGTTTTCTCTGTTTTGCGCAGGCCAGCACAAATCAGTTTTCGGGACGATATTCAACTCAAGTCTCATCTTCGCCCTTCGCGTCATGTTCCCGAGAGGACACGATATTGCGCGGGGCTGAGCCTCATGGAAATTGGAACGAACGCGTCGTCATTGTGACTCCAAGTTTATCTCGGCTGCATGACAGTATGTGACTTTCCCATTCCAATTTCCGCGGAAGCCATGCGAATCATACGTCGAGCCCCCTGGATGGAAGCTTACGATCGTCGCATCGAAAAACGTAAATACAAGTCAATTAACTCAACAATTTCTTTTACACGGTCCACGTGCTCCAATTTTCTTTCCTGCGCGCGCTAAATTGCTGAGCTGCATATCGCGATACCGTTGCGTAAAAATACAGTTCGCTCTCTTGCTCGGACACGTGAGAAGGAAAGAAATGCTTTGTCATTATCACGATGGTATTCGTGTGCTTGCAAACGAATGAATATATATATATATATATTTCGAAATGTCGTAGCTATTTACGAATAGTTCTTCCGCAAATGCAAGTCTTGCGCAATGATAAACACGACGCGATAATAGCAATGCTTATTAATAAAAAGCTTTCGCATCGCAGTGCGATTGATATCGCCTTGAAAAAATAAAGTGCAGTTACAAAATTAAAACACAAAGAAATAACAAATGCTCGAAGAAGCATGCTGCATGAGCCGACGTAAAAAAAAGTGAAGAGAAAAAAAACGTTCTCTTCTCTTTTTTTACATCGCGCCGGCAGCTTGTCAGCCCATAAATACTTTATTCGCTCTCTTAGAAACGGTATCTCTCGTTTATTATTTTTTTATACGCATATCCCTGACCCTATAATTCATGTGTGATGCTTACATGTATTTTAAGCCAAATAACTCGCAATTGCAGGACGCAACTACATCTACTTGCGATATTCAAATACACGAGAAAACCGGTTGCAATTCGCACGGATTTACAGCTGCTAATTGGACAATAGAAAGTCATTGATTAGTTTCGTACCCAAGGTTAATCGACGAAAGGATTGTTACATAAAAAAAGGAAAAGCGTGCGCGCGCGTGCGTACTAACAACGCGATGTGAAGGGACTCCGATTAGACAGGCCTGGCTTCTGTATACTCGGTGTAATCATTCAATAACAAACATTCGTCACACCGTTACATCCGTAAATTGCCGAAATTCCAAGGTGCGTGACTCACCTGAGTGCACGCCGCCATCGGTGTCGTTCTCCTCAAACCCAGCACCCATTACCAATCCAACATTCTTCGGCAATTCTTCGACTGCAAAATCGTGCCTGTCGCTTCTAATCAACGCACTGGTACTTCTCGCCAATTTCGTGCTATGAGTTCGCCTGATCAATATATTGGCGAGGGTCGGTCCGACCTGTGCTTTCGGCTCGATCACCGATTTCGCGTGATTCCTCGCTTCGCTCGTCTTGGTGCGTTGAATGACCGGGCGTCTCTCGACTGTCGGTGCAGCTGGTGGCTCCTCGTGTTTACTACTTCGTCGCTGGAGATCTTTGTTAACCTCGACACTGGACTGCGTTTTGTTTAGTCGGTTTGGATCTTTCTTGCCGACGAATCGATTTTGAAAGCGCTCGATCGTCTTAAACGACCTCGTACGCTCAACTTTTTTCCTCGCTTCGCTGCTTTCCATGTTCGACTTATTCGTGCTGTTGTTATTATTGTTGCTGCCGTTGTTCTTGGGCGCTTCGAAAATCCTTGTCAACGACTGCACTTTGCCCTTTGGTTCTAATGCCCTTGGCTCGCCGACGACTTTCTTACCGCTGCCACTGCTGCTAGTATCTTGCGGCGATCTCATGAGTAATGGCACGTTGGGCGCCGTCTTGGAAGCGAGCAATGGAAAGCCTTGTTGTTTCTTGTCCAAAGACACGTAGAACGTCGATCGCCTCTTCGGCGAACCGACTTCCACTGCTGCTATCTGCTGATGCTCGCCACTCAACATTGTATCGAAATGTGTATCACACTCCCTCCTTTCGAATGTATCACTTGCACACCGAAAACACCATAGTAATAGCACACGAGCGCGCGCGCGCACCACGTCCGCTTGACTCGTCTCGCGAGCACCGTCTGCCAGCCAGCCGGCAGCCGGTCGACTGCTGGCCAAGCGAAAGAAAGAGAGAGAGAGGCACGACGTTGGCGGACTCTGGCGGCTCGGTGCTCAAATTCCGGACGACGACGCGCTGCTGCGCGGCTCCGTTAGGACAGCTTTCCGCCCCGCGCTCTTGACTTTGACGTGCTTTTTCGACCTGAAAATCACGTCTACGGGGACGCGCGCTTTCACCGGCCGCTCGGTCATTCGAACGACACTCCGGAGCCGAGAGCGCGCACGAGACGAGTCCGACGTTGACGCGCGCGCACAGCGCCGTCGCTTCCGACAGCGCGTAAGCACGTCGCACGGCAAATTAACGCTCGACGCCACGTGCTTCCAATATTACAAGCCACTTTTTTTCTCGTCGTTTCCGCTTTAGCGCGAGAAATGGGGCAACGCGCACGCGCGCGACGCGTATTTTCGTCCTCGTTAAACGAGCTCCGTAGAGCGGGAGGCTCGAAAGGGGTTCGTCGAGCAGTGAAAAGTGGAAAAATTGGCATGGCAACAGCGGCGAACGCGCGTGTACACTGCGCACAAAAGAGGCTCCGCTGCTTTTGTCGCCTAGACTCCTTCCTTTCACTTGCCTTCTTCTTCTTCTTCTTCTTCTTCTTCTTCTTCTTCTTCCTCCTCCTCCTCCTCCTCTTCCTCCTCCGACCCTCCGACTACTGCTCTCCGTTCTCGCGAATTTGCGTCGCACAAGTTTCGAGTGCTTTTTTCCCTCTTTCTACGGCAGAGAAGAAGAAAAAGTCTTTGAAGGCTACTTTCAGAGAGGCGCTCGCGCGACTGATGCGTTCTCGGATGGCTTTCACGCTAATGCGATTTCCTTTTCACGGGCGCGACACGTCTCTCGATGCGGCTGCTCTGGTGTTCTTTGGTCGGGTCAATTACACTAATGTTTTGCGTGTATCTTCAGAGCGAGAGAACGATGAGCGCCCGAGGAACCGAAAGTTCCCACCGTTAGGCGTCATTAATGATTAACTACGTTAATTGCTCCAAGGCAAATACAAGTTAATTGAATGGAAAAGCCTCTCTTCGGCTATATCGCTGATAAATCATAAGGGACTGACACGACGAGAAATGAGGCGAGCCTCCTCCGGTGCACTCGGTCGCAGATCCATCGATCAGCGCGAGCTATTAGAGAAGCATTTTCCTATCCCGCGTGCTCCAATAAAGGGCATTGTTCCACCGACTTGTCTGCTAATCGGAGGCCAAGCGAAAAGCGTGGGCTTCGTCGGCAGACGGGCAGACGCGTCGGCGCCCCGATGCTGCGGAATGTGGTCACGCTGCTGCCACTGTTGCGCTAACGATGACACGGAATTCGATGGCTTATGAAACGGAACGCCTGCGCTCGCGTTCGAAATCGGTCCGCGCGCTCGGGACGTACGTCTGCTTGGCGCTCCTCGCCAAGTAGCACGCGCTTCCTGCCACCGTCGTGCCAGATGCCGTGCGCGGGGATAAAGAATTGCGCGTCCACGCGACGATCACTTTGGCGGACCGATCGAGAGCCGTTCTCCGTTGGCTTTCTCGGCGGGCGGATGCACGACTGAGACGCCGCGGTTCAATGGACTTTTGCCTAGAGAGAGAGAGAGAGAGAGAGAGAGAGAGGGGGGGGGGGGGCCTCCGTTGAATTTCGGTTCGGTTCGGCCGCCCTTCTTTATCGACTTCGTTAATTAGAGTGCGAGGCCGGGCGTACGTTACCACGATCGGAAATCGTGTGTGGGTGTACGAGGCTCGTAAATTCACCTCAGACAGAAATACGAAGAATGGGGACGCTGTGCTATTCTAATTTTATCATAGTGTTACCGTGTAAATTATTCAAACACATGTCAATTGTCTCCTCATTTCAGAATGAGGTACATAAATTTATAATAAATCATCACCATTGGCCGGTTTTCCAACGACCGTTGTTTTAATTAATCAACTGTCATCCAATTAGCCCGATTTCATTTTTTTTAATGTTGGCTAAGAATAAAAGATTCCCAACGAGTCAATCTTTGCACTTCTATTTATGCCATTTTTCAGACTCATGCCATTCAACGTACGCCTTTCAATTCCATTTTCAACAAACTCATTAAAGACCACCAAACAACTAAATTCCCGCAGCTAGACAGCCATTAACCAGCGAAAAGAGTCCTTTTCCCAAGCTACAAGTCATCACTCCACACATTGTATCCTTATCTCCTCAGCCGAGTGAAAAGGTCAAAGTCACCAAGAAGACAGCGAGAGTGCGATCGTGTCTTTCACTGGCTAGCTCGTGTGTGGGTGCAGCAACGATGGTCTCTTAGCGCACGGCAAAAGGAAGTGGCGATCAGTCAACGCACGTGCCGTTACGGAAATAAACTGCGGCGAAATGAGAATCCGTAACTTTTTGAGCAAAAAGAAAAGCATCAATAAGAATTCAGCCAAACCGGATGTAAAGAGCATCTTAATTTACGACTGCATCTTTCGCTCGTAAATATAATTCCCGTACACGAAAATCGAACGCGGCGCAAGCGATCCAGACGCGGATAAAACGTTAGTATACGAAAATACATCGGCTAAATGCGGAGGGAGCTACTAGATGAAACGTGCGAGATGCTGCGAGGTATTTTCGTGCAGCGCGGAGGCTTCTTACATTTTGTTTGTTTGTTTGTTTGTTGAAGGGGCCGACCGACCGAAAGAGAGAGAGAGAGAGAGAGAGGATTTATATGCTATTCTCGGTATTCCAATGGCGTTGGGTGGTGTTTAAAAAATAAAAGTGTCGAAGGGGTTGTTACGCTGTATTGCACACTTTATTTTCAGCAGATAATGAATGTTGATGATCTTGGAAAGAGAACAATAGTGAATTTTGAAATACAATTTGAAATTAGTCCAAATGTGCGAGTTTAAATGGTATGAAAGATCTGTTAGACACTAAGTAACTTTCTAAAATACGTTCGAATGCATCTCGATTTGCATTTAGAAATTTAATGACAAATTTCAAATCTTATCGATCCAAAATTCCAATACCAATCTTTGTACGTTCGGAAACTCCGCCAAAGAAAAAGAAAATATATCTCATTCGAGCGGAAAAAAGTACGTCAACCCGTAAACATCAATCCGGGCTTGCCAAGATATATACTTTTCCTCACTTCAATCCAGTGTGCGCGGCGACGAATCGAAAAGAAAGAAAAAAAAAACAACAACGTACCGGAATTTGACATGTGGGGTAAAAATGTTTGAGTGAATCGGGAAAGAAAAAGTGGCGGTGTAGCCAGAAAGTCGTGGCGCAATAAAATTCTCCGTGGATAATAATCGTCGACCGTAAGCGTGCGATACGAAAGTTTTGTTCGGCAAACAAAATCGTTTTTCTCGATAAGAGGTACGTTATTTTGCTACGCGACGCTGATAACCTGAAAAAAAAATCGCATCGGCGATACTCACGATAAAACTTCATCATTGGATCGCCCGTTTTTACGATCTAAAATCAAGCTTGCATCTCACGAATTTTTCGCATTACGAAAAGAAAGAAAAAAAAATTCCTTCTTCGCCGAAGAAGCACGCAGCACACGGCAGCGTGCTATAACCGAACTTTCATGCAATTAGCATAAAAGCGTTCGGTGGTCTTTTTTGTCTAGGCATCGCTCATTTCGAATTTTTCGTCGAATAAGCGATGCACTTCTCTCTTTCTCTCCCCATGGGAACCTTCTCTTTGCATTCGTAAAAGACTAATGAGGAACGTGCTTCTCTCGGCGCTATGGATCTTCGATGTTGTGTTATGCGTGCCCATGACGAAAGACAATGTTTCGCATCTACTAGTTCCTTCTTCTGCATACATATGCTGTGAACAGAGGATTTTTTTTTCTTCTTTTTTTTTCTTATTTTAGTGAGAAACTTGTTTTCTAAACGTGGCTTTTGGAAACGTAGGGTTTGAAAATTAAAATACAATGTTTTACAGATTGTTACTTCTTCTTTTCACAGCTAATTATTTCCCGAATTCCAATCCGCCCACGTACACATACGAGAAAAGAAAATGCCAGACAACCATTGTCAAGCTATGAAAAAAGAGGTAAATTTATGTACTACACGCGTAATACAATACTTTTCTTAATCTCTTAAGGATACATCGCGTTGGCGATCGAGCATCGGCGATAAAAGTTCGAATGAACTTAGATATGTCTCAATTTCCATAGCGAGGCAAGGGATTATTTTTTCTTTCGAGCGGCTTGACTAGTGTTTATTCTCGTATGCTGACTCGAGAGTGCTAATTAATGCTAAATCGTTATGACCGCACTCGCGTAGTGCTAACTAGCCTATCGGCCTACGTATAGAAATAAAAGCGGTGTATTAGTAATTTGATAACTCGCATCGTTTTTTATCGCTTGGTTTTGACATAATGTACAATGTAAGGTACGCGCATTTTTTCCATGAATAGAAACGAATCGACCCTCTTTTCAATTGTAAGCAAGAGTATGCCAGTTTCATCATGCGTATTTAGTAACAAAAGTATCTACTTAGCGACCAGCTCTGAAATTAAACCGTGAAAGTAGAAATTCAGCCGCTCAATTTTCGTAACAAGCAAGCTTTTGTTTCCAAGAGAATCAGTATGATTTTGTTCTCATGAGACTTGGAAAAAATAAAAGTATCAGAGGAGTAGTCGCTATCTAGCTGCTTATCAATCAAACATAAAATCACAGAATAACAAATCAAACTAACTCTCCCCGAATTTTCTCCGAGCAGTAGGAAAATATTTATCGCGGGTAAAACAGCGTCGATAGCAATCGGGAGAGAGAAATAGAGGGAGAGAGGGAGAGAGAGAGAAAGAGAGAAAGAGAGAGCGAGAGAGAAACTAAAAGTCACCTCGAAAAGTAATAAATAAGAGCATGGCACCGAAAATGTACCTGCTCGTCGAGGCGGATCAGTCGCAAGCAGACCCTATTTCAAAGTAAGATAAGCAGTAAAGATCAGCTCACCTGCAATCGCGCGCGACGATAAAGCGAATGCACGCGAT